TATTCTATTCTATTCTATTCTATTCTATTCTATTCTATTCTATTCTATTCTATTCTACTGTACTCTACTCTACCCTACCCTACCCTACCCTACCCTATTCTACTCTACTCTACTCTACTCTACTCTACCTTATATCTGTAGAATGGCTTGCTTCTTGGAATTGTGGCTGTTCTATTACTGGAGGTATTTAAGAAGAGTCTGGACAACCATTTGTCTGATATGGTAGAGGATCTCCTGCTTAAGCAGGGGGTCAGACTAGAAGACTCTAAGGTCCCTTCCATGTTTCATGTTCTATGATCAATACTCTAGGGGAAATTATTTATTTTCACTAGTTCATTTCAAAAAAATCACCTATGGCTCTACAAGTGGAGGCACAGCAGTACAAATGGAATTAAACTGCTGTTCCTTAAATATCCCCAAAGAGATAATTATAAAATTATGAGTAATTTGAGTACCTCTCATTGTTACAAATACTTTGTTAAATTCCTATCTCTTAAGTTAATACACAGAAATACATATAGTCAAAACAATAAAACAAGCTATGTTCTTAACCAGGGATCCCCAAACTTGGCAACTTTAAGACTTCAACTTCCTAGCTGGAGAATTCTGGGAGTTGAAGTCCACAAGTCTTAAAGTTGCCAAGTTTGGAGACCTCTGTTCTTAACTAATTGCCACACAAATTGGGATTCATGACCAGAAATTAAACATTTGGGGATTTTCCTTGCTAAGACAAATTTTGTCTCAAATTTTGTTTCTCAACATTTTTGCATTGAAGTGTAATTTTGAAGAATTAATTTTAATTCATTAATTGGCTCAAAACTAGAACATGACAAGTCCATACTAAAATCTGGATTCTACCATTTGGGTAGTTTTGAGCCAATTAATGAATTAAAATTAATTCTTCCAAATTACACTTCAATGCAAAAATGTTAAGAAAAGAAAGGTCCGCATAAAAGTGCATATATTTGCAAAAAATAATAATTCCATACATGTAATTACACTGAGCAGAATTACTTGCAAACTACGTACCTTAGGCAAATATGTAAACCAAAATGCAAATGTGTCAAAAATGTACAAAAATACACTTGCATTTTAAAGTGATTTCTAACAGGCATGCAAAGTAGATGAATAAAACTTAGGGGGTTAAAAAAAAAAATAGTCATGTTTTGAATGGACTATTTCATTCTTGGTTTTTCTGAATTTCCAACTCCCTTAAAGATCGTTTCTTATAAGAAGCAACATAGAAATAATTTCAAGAAATAATCAGTAAACAGAAAGAAGCTGAAAACAATTCTTTTGCCAAAAAGGTGAAACAGAGAAACTAAAATGTACAACTCCTCAAAATATGAGAAACTAGAAGTTTAAAAAAAAACACCACAGATTTGCTCCTACTGTGTACTGAATCTGGAGCAAATGTCTCCACAATATGGAACAAAAAAAAGAGGTCAGAAGATACAGGAAAGGAACTTTGGGGGGGCGGAACAGTAATTTTCATTAAAAGGTAGAGAAAAATTCAAATGAAATTAAATGCTTTCAAAATATTTTTTTTTCAATCCTAAAAATAAAAACACATTGGATATTCTACCTCCGGGGTCTCTTCAGTTTCATTTGGACACACACAAAAAGCACTAATTAAAAGCACATATTATCACCCAATATTAAATATCATTTCCCAGCCCAGTCAGACTTTTCAGCCGCTTCAGTTTTATGACATACAAGCAAGCAATAGCAGTGTGTAGTTGTGTGTGTATACCTGTATGTAACACCCACACACTGACAGAGAAATATATATCCATATTTACACATATACACATAAAATCAGTCTCTGGGGTTAAATATTTTTTTACTTTGCCTCATTTATACGCAGAAGAAGCT